TGCTAACCGGTGTTCGGGATGGTTGGAAGAAAGTTAGGGGCGGCCAAACCAAAATGTGGCATCAGTTCATAGAGTCACTCACCTCTGGTCTGAGTCATGTTGGTAGATGCAAACTACTTGGTTAGGGTCCGAACAACTACCGTAACCAATGGTTAGAGACTCTTGGTGACATGGCTCAGAATCGATCACAATGGCGTCGATGTATACACTCTCTGTCTACCCTTAAAGTAAGAGATTAAAATCGCTTCATATCTTTCTTTCTACGAACTGATTCTTCTTGTACTATATCCTTATTGCAGTCTTTTTTTATATATTGCCATCTCTGAATTAACTACTTTTATGAATCCGGTGTCCATCTTTTTGTGCTAATGAGGTATAGCAACTTGGGCCGATGCATATATGTGTCTGGTTCTACATTGTAGCTGACTAACTGACTGATGTCACTATGAACAATCTTAAACCATGTCATACCGATGATAATGAAAAACTGATCAAATAAAGTCTTGAAGATGTAAACAACATGAGAAAAAGTCCGTCCACCAAATTGATCATTCGATAAATAGTTTTTTCGAAAAAAAACTATTCTGTCAGTGTTAATCGAAAATTGAAAGGAAAAGAAGATGATTACGTTCTATAATATAAACCTATGAAGTCTTGATTTATTCTACGTAATATGAACACCTAACCTTTTCAAAACGTAAAGTGTTAATTTAATAGTTGAATTAAAGCTAGACCATCATGGACAACCAGGAAGCACTGGATGACCGTTTCGTCCTAGTATGCGACTCCTCATCAATGCTCATCCATGATCCTGCCTCGAGAGATTTAAATCCAGGACCTATCAGTCTCGAGGGCAAGACCATAAAACCTCTCTCTCAGTATAATTTTAACTCAACAGTATGTGTATATAAAAACTGTATTTATCATAGAAAACTTAAATCGTCAAGTAATTTCATTTATATGAATCACAGAAATACAATAAGACATTAATTTCTAGTGATGAGATTAAGATATGTAAACAACAGTAGATAGTTAATGTATGTGAAAAATTTACATCACTTCTATCAAAATATCAATCTAGAATTGTATTTTGTGCATACTTTTGCCTGTGCTTGTGCCTCTGCGTGTGTGTGTGTGTATGAACAAAGGCGAATCAAATTTTTCTCAGTAAATAAGCAAATTGACCTCGTCTCTCTCTCGCTCGCTTTCATACAGACATATATACCTGCATGAAGAAGTCATTAATGATAGTCTCCTTTTTATTCATTGTCTATGTGAACAACTCAGTTGGATATGATGTCCTGGTGTTAGTCACTACCATCATTGAGTTATTTTAGAAATTAATGTTTTACTATTATTATTATTATCTATATCAACAACTTGTTTGATACTGTAAAATTACAAAACAAAACACAACTAATTTGTTCCTTTTTGAATCTAGAATGTACCCTACTAGTGACATAATTTAGAATGATTCATTCAATGAAATATTGGATGTTTTAGACAAAATAAAACTATTCTCTTAAGTATAGAAATTATTCAACTACTATTAATATCTATGGTTTTAAAGAATTTTACCATTTTGCATCATTGACAGTGTTTAAATTCACTTGATATTGTTTGGCTTGTATCTTCCCATTGAGGTTTAAGACTGCAATTGATCAGTCTCTTATTGGCATATGTGCATACTGGGTGTATTACTTCGATATTGCCTTAATTCACAAGCATTATAAGAAAATATGAATAGAGGCTAGCAGTGGAATTTAAGACACAGGTTTCATTCTATTTGCAACGCATTGCTGGATGTACATACATCTCAGATTTGATGTTCACTGTGTAACTCAAACCGACTACCGTTCGCTTCAAACGCCATCACGTCATCCACTTAGCTACTCAGTCCTGACAGTTACCAATTTATACAATAGGGTGAAGTTTAAATTGCTGGATTCCACTACTTGCTACTATTCATCTTTGCTTAAAAATCAAGATAGTTTGCTTTTTTTGAAAAGATTATTTCATGAGAAATTTAGTCAAGCCATTCCATGCATTGATATGATGTGAAAAGTTAGTTCTCATTGGCGAAATATTACGATTCTACATTCCATGTGCTCCAATAATAATAATAATAATAATAATCTAATTCATCTGACAAGTGGTTGGAATATATATTCATTTTGCCTAACTACCGTCTACTGTTATACACGCTGTTGCTTGGAAGAAAGTTAGGAGAGACCAAAGTATAATGTTGCATCACTTTGTAAAATCACTGATTGTTGTCTGAGCCTTATCGATAGATGAATACACCTGAGTGAGTTCCGTTTGACTACTGTAACTAATATTCAGGAGTTCTAGATGACATGACTTAAAATCAATAATAATAGAATAGATACATCCAGCTAACGTATCCCAAATAGGACGAAATGCACATCTTAGATTTCATTGCTAACCGCTATCCATCATTGAAGGCATTCGGCAGAAACTATTGAGTATAAGTATTATGCTGGTTTACATCATTAGTAAGATGTAATATACAATATTTGAAGAGATTGATACTTTGTTACATATTTAAACCCGTTCATTGTCTAATAAATAACACTAATTGATGTTATCACTAAGATGTTCAAATTATCAATGATCTTCCAATGGATTTAAACGACCACATTGTCATGTTACGTAATAATCACTTCCATTCACAAACTGTTTTTTTCTTCTTTTTATACATAAAGATCATACTGGTGTTATATTGTTTAAATTTAAAGATAACAGGAAAAGGTAAAACATTTTCTAAGATAAACATCAATAAGCCTATAGATCACGAAACAAAAAAAAAAGAAGAGAAGGTAAACAGAATAAAATGACATAACCATATGCTTTATTCGTTATTATTTGAAAAAGAAAAGAGAAAAAAGAAAAACAAGATTGATAAAGTGATAAAATGTAATAACATCTGGTATTATTCAAAGCCTTAGCAACTAAAATTAAAATCAATATTATTATTTATAATACATACATTAAATTAGTAACAATCATTTAAACTTTAATTGATTCATATAAGTCTTAAATACAATTGTATGAGTTATTGATTTACCTGTCAATTAGGACTGTTTAAAGTATACCAAAAAAAAAATTTTTTTTTCTTAAAGAAACATCAAAGTTCAATCGTTAAGTTAATCAATTACAAGTTTGAAAATGACTTAGTCACATGAACACATAGAACCTGGTATATATGTGTGTATCGATTTATGTTGTTGTTGTTGTTGTTGTCAATATCATATTAGTATAATAAGATGAAATGATTAGAAGACAAATCTTGGAGTAGTAGCAGTATCAGACGTTAGAAACAACTATGTATACATTTTATCTTCTATTATATATAACAGTTAGGTAATAACAATAGTTTCTTGGTAGAAATTGTTTATAATAATAATAGTCTTGTTTAAGGAAGGTTAAATATCATCAAAGTAACTTAATCATGATATCATATTTCAAGGACAGTATTCTTAAATCGTTTCGTCACATTTGCCCCCAAATGCCCTGGTATGGCGGAGAGTGGGGTGGACCCGCCCTCCTTCTCGAAATGCTCTCACACGGACATGCGTATACAGCCTCTGTCAGGGAAGTTCTACTCACTTCCTTCTCGTACCACGAGTGTTGCTTACCAAAATGAGAGGATGAAAAGCGAATGTTCGGCGCTTGAACCGGATCCCAAACCAATGGTGCATATGGGCTCCAGTGTCTTGAGGGAATAAATAGCGTATGAACCAATCGTTGGTCACAGGCTATCATGGGACTTCATCTCCTCACGATGCTCCACTGCCTGTGGATCAGACCTTTAAGTCCAAGGTTCGGGACGTGCCCCTTAAGAAAACCACCTGTTTCGGTCTGGGCACACGAGCAGTATCCGAGCCCTCATACAAATCGAATGATTTATGTGGCGCTTATCTATTTGGTGCCTCCTTGTACTAATGTTTATGTGTTTAAATAAATAAATAAATAATAAATTTGTCACATTTAATCTTAGCTCATTTTACAACTAGTATATATAATTACATCATAAAATGAATCCAATTATTATCTAACAGCTAAAGGCAATTCAAAACGCGCGTTTTGAATTCCACTACTAGCCACATTCCATCTGTTCTATATGAATGAAGGAAAGTTAAACTATTGATATCAATAAAAAAGTCATCCAGAAAAATAATAACTAGAAAACTTAAACAAAGTAGGTTCATGACAGGGAGTGGAATCTATGACTGACGTTTCGCCTTGTATGAGATTCAACAACAGTATATAACCTTAACATCCCAGTGCTGAAGTTTCACTCACGGTAGGTTAGAAATGTAATTAAAGTAATTTTAAACATGATTTTAAACTGATGAGAAGAAAAAAAACACATTTACAAGACAAGAGCTTCAGTTATTCAAGTTATCATCAACTTTATGGATAAGGTGTGGACGAATGAAATAGAAACGACAAAACTTTTATAGAAAAAACCCAGCTAAAAGGAATCAAAATTATTTACAATATCAAAATTGGATTTATTATGTAGAACGATGGTTACGTAACCAGTGAGTTAGTGAGTCAGCAACAACGTAAAACTTAGTACGTACCTACATCAGTTCGAGTTACCATACTTAATTAGCACAGAGGTACAATTATCGATTCAAATCCCATAGTGATAAAGGTAGTAAGAGTATAAGTAATATCAGAATGGGTTTTATGGAGATTTTTAGAAATTTCACAGGTTGAATTCATGAATCAATTGAAGCTATACCGCCATGGAAAACCTGGAAGCATTGGACGGCCGTTTCTTCCTAGTGTGGGACTCCTCAGCACTGCGCACCCACGATCCCGCACCCCGCGGGATTCGAACCCAGGACCTACTGGTTTCGCGCGTGACCACTAGACTGCCGAGTCGAAAAGATTAAGGTTACATAATCAAACCACTGTCAAAGTACAAAATTACAATTTAGAAAAATAAGTAATAATCATAAACTTACTCTATCTAATTTTAATCGTTTAATTGGTATTAAACTATCATTCAATCCACATGGATTAATTGATTCATCAGTTTTTACAGCAAATTCATATGGATCAATTGGTTCATTAGTTCCACTAGAAATAATTGATGATGAAGTCGATGTAGATGAAGAACAACAATTTGATTTGGAATTTGATAAACGTATTGTATTTGAAATTAAATTATTATTACTATTATTAGTATTATTACTATTATTATTATTATTAGTAGTAGTAGTGGGATTTATAGATGACACATGTGTACGTCCACCACGATGTGTAATTTTCAATGATGTTCCACTTACTTGTGTTACAGTACTATTAGCATTATTTGAAATAGAAGGTGATGATGATGATGAGCAAGAGGAATTTGTATGTTTACTTGATTTATGACGTGTTTTAGTATTTTTAGTTGTTGAATTACAAGTTTTTTTATGACTTTTGTTCATATTCTCATTAGTATTTAATGAATTATCTGTTAAAGTAGGATAATTATTATTATTATCTGATTGATCTAATTGTTCATTTAATTTGTTAGGAATGTATGTTGATGCAGTATTAGTCCCAGAAACTGTATTACTATTAGCACTACTTCGTGTACACGTCTCTGATCTGTTATATGGACGTTTGTTTTTAACTTTCATTTCTTCTATTTATTTATTTCTGTATGTATGTATGTGTGTAAGGTTCAATAAACTGAAATTATCCACAATCGATTATCTTTTATTGACATTTGTTTCAATTGAAATATCATATAATGGATACGGATAATGTTGCTGATATATGAATATAGATATACTCCACGAACCGTATGATAATCTCAATGATAAATCCAATTATTTAATGTCAAATCCAAATATAATTTGTATATTTCCAAATAAAGTAAACTTGACAAATTAAAGGTATTTAATTGTGTATTACATAGAAACCACTTATAGATTAAGTTATATAAACAAAGGGCGTTCGTTTTAGCGTGTCCGTTTAAATGCCTGGAATTAACCAGGGCAAATTGTAGTTAATTATTATTAATTCAATTGAGTTAGTTTTCCCCTCTCTATTTTCCTTTAAAAAAAGTATATCCGAATACGATGAATAATTCCCCCCGAAATACAAATTAATAATAATAACAAATTATTTTAGTGATATCATAAAGAGAATATGTAACTATCCACAATATACATAATCCAATAAAGAACAACTCCAATGGCTTTTATTATTACTATCAAGTCAACAACAAAAAGTATTTATATATATAGAAAGGAAACCAATATGATTGGTTAATATTTATTAACCAATCAGAAACGAGTTGTCAAATAAGATAAACGCCCTCGTTCGTTTTTTCTTTTCTTTTCTTTTTGTTCTTTTCTCCAATAAATAATTCAAGGTGTGAATTTACGAGAAAAATAAAATAAAGAAATAATGATAAACATTAAATGAAAAGAAAATATTTTAAAAAAATGAATATGGTTGTTTGTTTGCCTGTTTATTATTTTACCATTACATACATACTAAACACACACACACACGCACATACAAATAAACACGCAAACACAACACAAATAAATGGCTGTTAGTATAATGTTTATTTAGATTAGGTTTGGTAACCTGATGTGAAACAACAACAACAACAACAACAAAAGGAACACATAACCCTAGTTCATTAATCAAAGTATAATTTTCATTCTTATATTGATTGATTTGTTTGTTTGTTCTTTTTCTTTTCGAAGGTAATTTAAAATTCAATGAAGAATAGAATTTATTGCATAAGCTTAATTAATGCGATTATAGTGGTATGATTTTATCATTTATAATAATAATAATAATAATAATAATAATAATAATAATAATAATAATAGTAGTAGTAGTAGTAGTAGTAGTAGTAGTAGTAGTAGTAGTAGTAGTGGTAGTAGTAGTAGTAGTGGTAGTAGTAGGCTTAGAATGATTAAGTTTATGAGACTGTCATCATTAATGGTCAAGTGTAGGAAGCATATTTTATAGGAAATCGATTATGGTTATTAATAACAAATGAATGTACGTGTAATACTAGACAGAAATTTTGTAATAATTAGAAGCAGAATCTAGGACTTTTATTTAGGATTGGTTACTCATTGTTCAGTGGTTAGAATTTCAAACGTGCTTGAATTCTTGAGAAAAAGGAACTGTCGAGGTTATCAATTACCTCTTTTTTTATTACTGTGATACATGTGTGTATCAACCGTTAGTTTCATTACATTTCGAGTAATGTTTTTTGGTCCTCACTTTCTACTTGGTTTTATGAGAAAGAAAACTATTAAACTAAACTTATGATTGTTTGGAAGTAGTAAATAATCACATAAATGTTGATTTACGGAAAAGTAATTGGTATAATCTTTCCCTGAGTAAATGTATACCGGCTTTCCCCGAAATGTCACTTTAAAATACCAAACCGTTGGAAGGCGTCATGGTTAAACATTGTAAAATATAAGGGTATATGGTATATTATCATTGGAACATTCTCAACAAAACATGAACTCCGAAAACCTAACTAGTTACAAATCATACATCATATGACTCTTCATTTGATAATATTATCATAACAAGTATATATGAAACTGATATTACTAACAAAGATGTATAATATATATCATTATTATAAGCGGAGATTGATAGTGGTTTGTAGTAGAACCCTGCACGCGCGTTTTGTGCTATTTGGGACTCGTCAGCATGATGTGCCAACATTCCAGAGTTAATATTTATTCCAGGACTCTAATACAATACCTTTCGCTTCAAGTGGAATCGTGTTATCTATTTAGTTCCTGAGTTCAGGTTATCGCTGGCTCGTTGACCAGAATGAATTTTAACTTATATGTATTGGTTGTTTGGATCAACTATAAACCTGAACATCAATATCAAAATCTAAACAAGTATATATATGTATGTAGATTCACTTGGTATTGTTTGGCTTGTATCTTCCCATTGAGGTTTAAGACTGCAATTGATCAGTCTGTTATTGTCATATATGCATACTGTAGCTGAGTGGATAATGCGATGGCGTCTGGAGCAAATGGTACTGGGTTCGAGTCCCACAGTGAACATCAACTCTGAGATGCAGGTACATCCAGTTGACGAGCCCCAAATAGGACGAAACGAACGTCGTGAATTCCACTGCTAGCCATTATCCATCATTGCTTACAAAAAGCTTGTGAATTAAGGCTATATGTTTTTAGTTTTCCGTTTATTTCACATAACATATCAATTACTAATGTTAAACATTGTTAAACAAAACAATTAATGATATTTTAAACAAACTGGCAATACTGAATATTCAATAACTTAATATATGGTAACAGGATATGTAGTTAGATAAACAGGTAGACATTAGATGGATAGATAGACAGACAGATAGACAGAAAGGCGGATGGACATGTAAACATGTAGATAATTTACATATATAATCTTAGTTCATATTTATGACAATGGTCATCATCTTCGTTATAGAAGTACTCAAAATATTCTCTTTAGAAGTGGAATATCCGTTTTAAGCACATAATTGTTTTCCTTTTACTGTCATTTACAAATAAACCACTCAGTTGATGGAACATAGAAGTTTAGTTAAAAAACTGTTCAAATTTAACTCTAATATCTTTTTGATGGAGTTTTGTACCAAACTTCTACCTGAAGTTTATGCTGATTCTGTCGTTTAGAAGAATGATGACAGCTCCACGACCAAACGACCATCCAGATCAGAAAACAAAACTCCAATAAATTTCATCTACCTGAGATATAAATCTTCTCCAGTAACTCTAATATCACTATTAATACAGGTGATATATGATGAAATTTCTAGTTCTAAATGGAAGATCATTTTGATATCACGATTGGAAATACGCCAAACTGACAAATATCAATTTGCATGAAATTTAACCTTACTGTATTTTGCTTAATATCTCTAACTGTCAAGAAAAGTCCTTCATGTACCATCATCTAAACTAGGCCTCATGTATCCATCTTGACTGACTGAATAGGATGATGACTATGATCTGTACAATATAATGAGATTCTTCTAGAATTATATTATTGTATTGCAATTATTATACAGTGACAAGCACCAAGTGATTATGCAAACATTTCAGTCTAACAATAAGTCAGTAATAGGATGCATAACTCAATGTCATGAATGCTGAGACTGTGTGATACAAGTTTGAATCGTATGAAAATTGTTAGTTCCAACAAAAGTGAAGATGAAACATAGATCTATGACTTCTTTGAAACTATTGTCAACAAGCTAATATACAGTTTGGAATGTGTAATGTTACATAATAGCATACTTTCTTTCAAAAATGGTTAGTGGTTCATAATGTTTAATTATTGTACATCCAGTATTAATGAAACATTATTTTTATGTAATTATCTAATGTATCATTGAAGGGAAAGACTACGTTACTGAAGAATCAAGCATTTAATTCAATATGATCTTTGTATTTATTGGATTATTTTGTGGGACACTTATCATGCTTCAAGTGTCTTAGAAAACCAGTTAGCTAGTTGATATATGCTGTACTGGAAAGTGTAGACAATGACATTCCAACTATATTCTACTCACCATAATACTTCAAATCTTGAACTCTAAATAGTAGATACTTACTTACTTATTTACTTACTTGCACCTGTTACTCCTTGTGAAGGAGCATAGGAGTTGAAAAATATGAAGAAAACTTAATTTGAAGGGTACTTTTATGTACTACAAGACAAAAACAACACTCGTAATTACAGAATTATACGACCATGACGTTCTAAAAACCTTCTAGGAAACATGTGAACAAATTCAATCCCTTAGAGATATCTAAAGGACGTTAATCAATGAAAGTGTTACTTTAGTATTTCTTATATTTTTGAAAACTTTTCGAGGAATCATTAAGAGCTTATTACAATTATCTTCTTGAAACTTCACTTATATGTATAAACCATTATGTACCGCCACCATTCATGTTAAAACTGGTAGTTTAAATCAAATGGTTTACTGAAAATTTCACTTATATTTATTATTTTAATTGATTAAAAATACTAAGAATGATCTCGAACGTGACTCTATAATTTATGGATGAACCAATTGGGTATAAGATAACAGGCCTTGGATTTTGGCGCGAAATTCATTCATCCATTTGGCTAAATAGAGTTTTGACATTATTACTAAAATAAGTTCGTGATAAAAACGGTAAATCTAATTATTAACCTTAACCATTAACTATAAAGCTTAATTTTTATTCCTTATATTGGTTTCTAACCTTCATTTGGTCACTTCAAAGCTGTTCAAAGGTCGTCCATAAATTATAGTCTTACCATGATCTCAGTTTACCATTATAATAATAATAATAATAATAATAATAATAATAATAATTATTATTATTATTATTATTATAAGCAAAGATGGATAGTGGTTAGTAGTGGAATTCAAGACAAGCATTTCGTCCCATTTGAGTCTCGTTAGCCAGATGTACCTGGGACTCGAACCCCAATACTTTCGCTTCAAACACCATCGCGTTATCCATATCAATGGGACGATCCAAGTAAACAATACCAAGTGAATGTATTATTATTATTACAAATGAAAATGTTTAAGTTTGAATTCAAATAAACAATTGATGAAGCATATTATGTAATTAATCAATCACAAATATATATAATAACAAGATATTTGAAGTTGATCAAATTATAGGTTAGTTACATTTGAGTTAACTTACCAACAAAGTTACATTATTTGTGTCTATGTCAGATTACGTCATCGTCATCATCATCACCCCATCACCATAATAATCAATTTTGATATCCCTTTAATACGATTGTCTTGAATTGGTGACAAGTGAATAATAATTATGTAGATGAATATTATTGATCAATAATTAATTATGACATAATTAAATAGTTTCTATTAATTTTATGCAAATTTTTTTATAAAAAAACTTAAATATATTTGCATAGAATAAAAATACAGTAGAATGTTACACAGAATTTACACTAAAATCTTTTATATTCAGCATGGAGATGATGGAATGGCGTTGATACTGATGATGTTATTAGAGAGATATGTCACTTATTTCATACCTCATAATTTATATGAGGTAACTAAATAAGATAAAAAGAGTATGAATAAATTATTAAATAATAAATGACAGTAATTGAAACAGCAGTAAGACGTAGGGAGAATTCGGTATTGTACATTCTTACGTACTTACTTATTTACGTATGTTTACTCCTAGCATTCTCCAACCCATTCTGTCCTTGAGCATTCCTTTCCAGTTCTATCTAATTCTTGTCTCTATTTATCAGTGTAATGTGTTCT